TAGCAACGCAGGTGGCTGAAGGGAAGGTTGGCTTATGGTGAAGAGGAACAACAGCGGTTTATGTATGATTCAATTCGATGCTGTTTCTTCTTTTTTTTAAAAAAAGAAAAAAGAAGAAGTATACATATGCAAAGCAGTTAGCATCAATCGACGAAAGGACAAAAAAATTGACGATGTATTCGTATTTTTTAATTCTTTTGCTAAAGAATCGTTCGGACTTTGTTAATTCTTCTGTGGAATTTGTCAGTTATTTCCGGAAATATCAGTTCACTTCAATCAACTATTCCAAATAATCAGAAGCTGATGTATGCTATATGTTAATTGCACATAGTAATCAATTTTTCCAAAGTTTATTTCTGCAAAAAAAGAAGAGAAGTTGGATAAGATTGACTTAATGTAATGATATAATTTTCTTTCAATAAATTGTTAACTAGCAATATTATCAAAAACTTGATGAAAACTAATTTAATTTTTCAGCTGTTGATTTTAGTTAACATTTTAGTTAACATATCATTTGATTTTAGTTAATATAAATGACATATTTTACTTATATTCAGTATATTATTTTGTAATAATAGTATAATAATGCATACGACGATACATACCGCCATATATTTTGATAATGTTAGGATGATCAATTAGTACGAATCCTACCATAATTAATTTCCTTTTAAAATGACACAATTTGTACCAAACTTCCGTGTTTTGCTAGTTAATAACTTTTCCAGTGCTTTTTTTTTATATCTATAATTTCAGTCATTTATAATTTTCATCGATCACATCAGATCACAATGCAGAATATCATTTTTCTACATTTTTAAAAAAATATTGCCTCCTTTAATTTTTTTCTTTTGTTTTTTTTTTCGGAATTGTAAATTTTCTCTTTCTGAAGGAAAATTAGGAATTTTTGTTGTATATAATATAGGGTCGCTTTACAAGAGATATAATAATATAATAAGTAATTTTAACATTCTATGACTAACATTTAGTGATAAATGATGTAATGCGAGATACTTCTCAGTCATATTTTGCATTCTTTCGATGTGTACTTCAATAAACTGTTTCTTCTTTACTTTTTTTAAAGTTACTGATGAATGATGAATAGGATCACGTGTAAATCAAATTTACGTATATTTGTTTCATATAAATGCATTTCGTGTTAATGTCGAAGTATGAGTTAACGTATTTCCTCTTTTCTTTTAGTTAATCATCAGACATTTTAGGTCATCAAAAGCGAAAGAAATGGGAAGCGTTGGAAATTACGCTGAAATAAAATTTTAATACTAATTTAATATTATTTCCTATTTTTTTGTTTATTGTGGCAAAGAAAAAACAAGGTTCATTTATATTTTTTCCGAAGTATTGAATTGTTTCATTTTTTCTGAAAAATAAATGAAACAAAGTTACTCAGTAAAGAATGTGGATTCGATCTCACAGTGTTGCACTCTTGATCATTCATCGATAAACAATAAATCCAGGTTTCTTTTTATATTAAATAATGATAAATTGTCATATTTAGTGCGATTTTCCAGGCTACTGTTTACGATTTTCTTTTTTTTTCTTGGATATCCCATTATTTATATTGTATTAAAAATTGGTGAATTAAATTTGCTAGCAAAAGAAAGGAAACGTCTTTAAAAAAGAAGGAGACATCTAGTCTTAATTACAAAGTAAAACGTATATAAGTTAGGAAGCAAAATCTCTCATTTATCCTCCAGCATTACTGTTATTGAAAGCTCAGCAATAATCTTAATCACAATATTATGACGCAACGTATCAGATGTTTCCGGCTGGAATTTCAAAATCCTACTGTTTCTCATTTAAGTCTCAAAAATCAGTACAATATTTTGTTGACAAAGAAATGGAAGTGATTATAATAGTGTAGGCCTCTGTTTTACCGAATTGTCCGCTTTTCTATTTCAAGAATTCATTGCTCAAATCTTAGCAAAATATGGAAGTTGAGTCATATATCATTCTCCCTTAGTTATTGCTATTTTTGCTATTAATATTGCGTTGCACAGTAAATTAAATAGTTATATATCGTAAAGAAGTAAGTTAAAACGTTCTCAAATTACAGTGTCCTACAAAGCTGTAAGTAAACATTTTGTTCTTTGCTAGCATATTTTCAGAAAGTCATCCTCAGTTGATGTCCTTGACAAAGCGGAATGTCAGCAATCGTCCAGAACTCGATCGCTAAGTAACTTTTCCTTCAAACTTCGCGATTCTAGAAGTCAGAATTTTGTTAATGTTGCTGGTCACGAAGATACTAATTTTGTATCATTAACAAGTTCTTCCACACCTGCTGAAATGGAACGAATTACGGTTTCGTTGTCAGCACTTGACAAAGAAGTTGAAACATCCTGTTGTATAGGTTGGTCTGTTTATTATTACAATCCTCTTAGAATCGCTCTATTCATTGCTCAATGAATTACTCATGTTTAGAATGATGTTCTTTACATCACTCATTAGTTGATGTCAGTGTACTACGTTTTTCTCTTTTTTTTCCTTGAAGTTATGCAAATTCTTCGTCTATATTATAAGTGGAGTTGAATTGAGTCATATTCAAAGTAGGAGAACTTTTGAAGAAAAATAATGTAAATAACTCAGTGTTGAGATCAGCCAAATTGGTACTTCAGAAAGAAGGAGTGCTTTTGGTTGAAAACTGAATACTATAAATTCCTTGTAATGATATCAGGTGAAAGTGTCGCTTTTCTGAGTGAGAACTGATAAACACCACGTATTACTGAATAGTTTTCACTGAAAGAAAGAACTTTCAAAGAAAAGAATCTTCAAAAAATTCTGAAACATAGTTTTAAAATTTTACATATGATTGCCAAAACTGAATTGAGGTTCCTCCATTGCATCCACTCAATCATATATTATTATACGTTATTATTACTTATTACATTGTCTGTATTGATTATGATCTACTTTAAAATCCTTTAGAATGTAATTTCAAAAAAGGTTTTTTCTTTCATGTTAAATCAAACTACATAACGCATTTTGAATATTTAGGGTCCCGTTTCAACCGCATCACCCGAAATTGTTTATTATTATATGTATAACATTTCTTGACTTAATTTAGATTATCATTTTTTCTTATCATTTGAAATGTTTTCATTACTTTTACTTTAGTTGTAAAACAACTAGCTGCATATGAAAAGGAAAGAGATAGAAAGCGAAAGAAAAAAAAGAAAAAAGTATTTCCTATATTTTCTTCGATTTGTAAACTTCCTCAAAATAAAAGTAAGACTTTTTGTTGATCAGCATATTTCCCTTCATCTGCTTATTTTCATGCAGCTAAATAAAAAATTAAGACGTTGTGCATATTTGCTTCCTGCAATGACAATTTCATTTCGGTTCTTTAAACCCCTAAATAACATTTTTCGTGAAATTTTTTTCCCATCACATTCTCGACATTGACATTTTACTCGTATCTAACTTTAAGTTTCACAGCTCTTCTCAACATTGAGGATTGAGTTTTTTTTTTTTTTTTTTTTGCAGAAGTACCGATGCTTCCGTTTATTAGGAATGGCACTAATCATCATCATAATTCCAGATGTTTTCCAGCATTTTTCGATGCGTAATAGGATATATTTAGCAATTATATCAATAAAATCAAAAATCAATAAAACATTTGATAAAATTGGCCAATAAAAGCTTTTATGTTATTATCATATGAATGAAATTTGATTTAATATGTAAAATGCTTACCTGTATGATCTCTGTCCTGATTTGAATTCAGCTCACTGTATTAATGCATTTTTCACCGTATATTTTCATCCATATATTTTGCTCTTTTTTTTGTTGCACGAAACATCATATGAATATTCAAAATTTCCACCTCATATTGACAAATTTATTGATAATAACTGATAAGTATGTTTTTCACCCGTTTTAAGGATGTTTTCTGCAAAAATTCCGTTTTTCTCTTTCTGTAGAAGTTTATGATGCTATCTAAGGAAACAAATTAAGGAGGAATGGAAAAAATATGAGACCATTTGTTAGATAGGCTTACATTTTTCGATAATCATTAAGCAATTGTAATCAGCTTTCCAATTCTTCTTGATTTTTTGCATTATTATCAAAAATTAGTAATCATTTTTCTTTTTTTTGCATCTCATTATATGAAATTATCTTAAACGTATTTTTTTCAAAGAGATTGATAATTTTGTAAATTTTATTATCATTTTTTTGAGAAGGAAGAAGAAGCGAAACAGGAGGTAAAAAGATGGATTTATTTTTTTTACATTGTCTTCTTCAAAGATAACTTCTATAATATTCATTGATTCATATATCATTTGTTAAGTTACAATTCTGTTTAAATTACTTTCATTTTTAGAAGATGCGAAAAAAAAATTGAATCAAAAGTTATTTGATATTGTTCTGTGAACTTTAGTTCAAAATCATGTTTTTCTACTTTTTTTTTCTCGCTATAATACATCATTCTTATTACGATTAATACCTATTAGTAACGAATGATGTATTTTGCGGGGAATTAAAGCTCATTTAGAATTTTAGATTGTAATGTACACTCTAAAATATTGTATTTTTTTTTTTTGCTTGTATGATAACAGGTTTGACTATTAGCAGGAGCAACGTTCACACTGAAATGAATAGCATTTGTGGTAAAAAAAGAAAAGTGTTAAAAATTAATCAGTGATAGTACAGAATATACATAATGCTTTAAATTGGAATGTCTTCCGGATGATTCTTATCCGATTTTCTTCCTTGCATCTTTCTGCTAAGTTTGTTAACATATTAATATCATTTTCAAGTAATTGAAATATTAAAATACTGAATTGATTGAATAGCTTGAAGGAAATTTAAAGATTCTAATTTTACCCTCTGTTAAAGAAACAGAAAAGTGGAGTATATTCTAAGATAAATTTCATTACAAAGCGTCAATTATCCGATACTGAAAACATGTAGTAGTTGATCATAAAAGCAGTTGTTTAACTAAAGAATTGATCCCAAAACGAAGAGAAGAAGGAATAATTCGTACAAAACTTATGATTTGTCATCTATGGTAACCGTTAATATAAGATGCAAAAAAAAAACATCCTAATATTTTTCAAAAAACATCTTTATATCGTATTTTTTCTATTTGAAATTTTAGAAAGGTCGAGAAGCTTAAGCGTTGATGGTCGGAACCGATCTGCTTCACGGAATTTAGACTTACACGAGAAGTCGGATAAAATTCCACATTTTTGCGAAGATTTAAGTGCATTAATGGAAGAACCATTATTTGACCCATCGTTATCATACTTTATTTCAAGACAAAACACCTCATCAGATCATGGTTTGTTTTTGTTTGTTTGTTTGTTTTTGATATCTGGTTCTTAAGTTTATGCGAGCAATTTTAAACATTTTGATTAATGTTGAGGGAACGTGCTGTTTGTTCAGTTAATAAAATTGCCAGTTCAAAGGCCAAAGTTGTTTAAGTGATTGTTTTTTGTTGAAATTTATGTTCTCACCTTTTTTTTCCTGATTCAGTCATTCACATTTGAAAATATTTTACTAACTGTTACTAGTAGCATAAATGCCATAGCATCAAAACTATTATTTTGCTGTAATAGAAGTTAGTTGTTATTTCGAAGAGAAAAATGTCAGTTTCTATCATCTTATTGGTTATTTTTCATTCTTCTATGTTCTTAATTACTTTTTAGTATTTTCGTTAGACCTAACGTACACAGATTTTCAGTAAATTTGGAAATGAAAAAAACGAATGTTTATATTTTTGTTGTTTGATGTTTTTGTTACCGTATTTGCTGCATTAAAATAGTAGGAATGTCGTGAATTTCATAAAGACAGAAAATGTCCGTTATCTGCATTGGATCGAAAATTTTCAGGATCTGCATGTAGTGATGTCGATGATAGTCATGATGATATGCAATATGAATCAACTGATGCGAATGTTGTAAAGGACAGTCGAAATTGGCAGTTGGCGACAAATTTATCTGAACTCAAAATTACACCCAGTAAAGAAATGTTATATGAACAGCGTTTCGTGAGTTTTCGCACTTTTCTTTTTTGTTTTGTAATTTTGTTAAGTTACGAAACTATAAGTATATGAAATTCATAAATCACCTCTATTTAAGGATCGGAAGATTCTATCGAATGAATTACCATCGCCTAGGAATCCAAAAAGGTTGTCCGATTCATCTATGGCTATTGGAAATGCATTGAATTTTGCCCTACAGGTCGCGAAATTTCCGAAAATTAATCCTACTGATGAAGCAGATGGACAGAAATGTCAGGAACTTGAAAGGCAACCAGAATTAAGGTGCATTTCAATTCTAATTTTACTTCCAAATTTCAGTGACTTGAAGAGTGGCTATAAATCCACCAGTAACTAATAGCGATAATGGCCTATAATAATAGGTTAATCTAATATCAAAAATTTTTCATTTAACAACTTATTGCTAAAAATGAAAATTATTCTTTGACTTTTTGTTAACTAATACGAAAGGACAAGAGTAAGTTATCCATTCACTATGGCTTATGCTTATTATGCTTACCGTGAAGATCATATAATATACATCTCTCATAAGAGATTTAAACCTACTGCATTTGATCCATTTGTATCTTATCTAAGTTGTCGATGAAGATCGGATAATTTCAATCATTAAGCTGAAAATTTCCATCACTTATTTGGAACGGTCGAAAATTCATATAACAAAAACCAATTGGTGTGAACTGGTTTTTTTCGTTGTTTTTTGCAACAGATGAAATTAATTTCATCTGAAATATGCAATGTATCGACATACATTTGCAGTGAAACATATCCGAAAAGTGAGCGTCCTTCCGATGCCGCCAATCCCACTTCTTCATCGTCGTTTTGCATTAAATTTCCAATCACACTTTCGGGTTCTTCACGTGAGTTGAGTGTCATATCAGAACACAGTGATCTCTATGCTGTGAGTTTTTGGCATATTTAAAATTTAAAAAAAAAAGAAAAAATACTGTTTAACGGAGAAATGCAATCTATTTCCGTGATAATACAGTAATTGTGCGATTGCTTTCTAATCTATAATTTACCTTCTCTCAATTTTCGAGCAGAAAAATTGAGTATGCTTAAAAAGTAAAGTGAATAAAAAATGCGGAAGAAATTGCAGAAAGATTTTAGAAATCCACATAATTACTTTTCATATAGCATGAATAAATATATCGTAGCATTTATTACTACTGCCAAATATTTAAGATTTCGAGCAGTTTCTTTTTCTCATATTCCTAATTAATGCACGAATTTAGCGTTTTCTGAAACACCATTTGTTGTATTTAGATGCTCGTTATGTCCATTTGTCTTTTTGGACATGTGTAGGACAGTGTCAATTTGTGCGAAATCTTACATGATCACTTTGCCTTATGGGAAAATGACAGTAATTGCGAAAAATGTTCATTCAGGCGAACATTCAAATCTCCGTCACCATAATGTCAAAATTTCTTTGCACTTTTGTTCATGCACTATATGGCACACATTTCGCATTCGAAATACGTTTAAATGTTCAAAATCATTATTTGAAATTTAAAAGTAATATTTTCAGACTTTTTTTCTGCAGGAAAATGAAGTGTGCAACTCGGACACATCAATAAATGACCCTGGTTTGCTTAAAACAAGAAGAAAGATTAGTGAAAATGTAATAAGTCATCGTGAAAGAGCCGTTGATGTTGATGGTATTGTTTCGCAACATCGTCGTTGGCGTTCTGAAAGCAGAAATGTACTCAAAAAGATATATGACCAAGAAGAACGGGTGATTTCTGCTCAAATTGATTTTGAATTTCGAGAACACAAATCAATAATTTCAGTATCTGTGGTGCATATTCTAGATCATTACATAGTTCCCATTTTTTTTCGGCATACTTGGCTATGGAAAGGAAATTTTAGGCGAAACTGCAGTTGAATTCTTTATGTTAAACTATGTAAAGAAATTGGTGTATTTTTGTGCTAAAAATTCTGTAAAAGTTTTAGCAGCACTTCAACAGAAATTGGTGTATTTTTGTGCTAAAAATTCTGTAAAAGTTTTAGCAGCACTTTAACTGATATCACTTCATCAAGTAGTGTTTTACACCGGTGTTGTTCAAAATTTTGCACAGAAATCACTTTTTGAATTTCAAAATTTTTTTTAAAAATTTCATTTCAAGAATATTATCTTGAGTTTCTGGCATGAATTTTTTTGATCATTAATTTAGGTATCACTAAAAAAATCAGTGCCGTTGCGTAATTCTTCGTCACGAAATGGTGATCTTTCGGGACGGTGTAAAAGTCAAATGATTTTGAAAGAAGAAAATGATTTCATCAAAAATTGGGCAAAACTTGAGATAGCAGATGGCATAAAGAATTTGTCATCCTCATCTCCGAACGTCAATGAATTGGCTGTACCATCTCCAAGTCACCAAGGTTTTTATATTTCATAAATTTACCATTCATTCATCATGGATTAGCTGACAGTTCGAAAGTGAACTAAAGCTAATGCAAATCATAAAGCAAGTCACATATAACAATCCTTCTTATAACTTACATGGTTAATACTTTCATTTATTGGATTTATGATTACTTACTTCACGCGTAGCTTTCATTTCTTAAAGTGGAGAAACTTTTCATTGTAATTTGGTCTCTAGATATGAGCATTAGATTAGCAGTTTAAAAATATCTACCTTTTTAAAGACTATAGGGTACAGCACTGTTAAACATAAATGGAAAATCTGTTTTTTTTTTTTTTTTTCACTTTATAATCAGATACTGTTTTGTAGGTAATGTCGAACAAGTATCGCAAATTATGCAACTTCATCCAAGCATTCAGCAGAAAGAGAAATATAAGTGGAAAGAAGCTTTACCAGCAGCATTTGGGCCGCACCAGGTACAATCCATTTCAGTTTAAAAATTTGTCTAATTTATGGGACGAAATTTGAAACTTAAAATTTTTCACAAAAAAACTAATTGATGTAACACTAAAATTATCAAAGACAACTGGGTCGATCAATCATTTAATTAACATCATGGAATGATTCATGCTAAAATTTATGTGGATGAATTACATATAATTTGAATGCATTTGCGGTTCATTAATTTGAGTTTTATTTAGTTTATCATCTTTGCTACCAGGGAGCACATGCTACAAGCAAATTAAGTTTGAAAAAAAAAAGTTTTCAGCTTCATCACATGTTGTTTTTACTTGCGAAATTCGGTAAATCTGTATACAGCTTAAATCCTATCCAACGCTGCATGAACTGATACAGTTGTAGTGTTTATTTTTGCTGTTGTTTGTGGTGTCAGATCATATGATCATATAGTCATTTGGTATGATTCATATGTTAAGATATGGTCATATGGTATGATCATCTCTGTATTAGCAATATACACTTGAATTTAATAAAATGATGTGATGTGATGTGGTGTGAAGTGAAGTAATGTGTATCGCAATTTAATTATTTAGACGAGTTATTTGCTATATTGAAATATAACTTTATAATCAGCCTACTTTTCGATGAAATTCAAGATATATTCAAGATGTGTTTCATCTTCATAGCTTATCAAGACTTTTCAAAAAAATGCAGTCTGGAGAATCATTTCGAGAGAATTTCAAACTAGAATAACCTAAAATCGAAATTTGATGAAAATTTTAATGAATTTTTCGTGGGGAACGAATTAGCTGCTACTTCTCAGGAATTCTGTCGTGTATAAGTTGTTGTGGTTCCAGCTTTACACCTGCACTATTCTTTGACCATTCATAATTCATTACTTATTTATTTTCCTTTTTTAAATTACAGAAATGATTACAGGTCATTGGACCAGTTCAACGATCTTCTCGGACAGCAGCTACTGCTTCCACACGAAAGACATCTGATAGGTTCGATTTACTTTTAGATAATGCTTTTTTTTGGTATAGAGTAAGAAAAAAGTGTTGTTCACTGCTAAAATTAAGTATCCTGAAATTCGAAAGCATTGAAGAAAAAGAAAATAAAAAGATATGAATTTTTCTTCAGTTCTGTACAATATGAAAAGAAAATTCGCGTGGAAAAGAAACATTCGCGGAAGACAAGCACACTGTTCGATTTCTTTCGTGTAAGTAATTTATATTTCTACCAACTATTTTTAAATAAATCCTTCAACGGTAGATGAGTCTTTTCTCTGGATTTTCTAAACTTGGATTATCAGCATAATTTTGACTCATTTAATAAAAAATATATTGGGAATGTTTAAATTATGATAGTGACTAACTAGATAATACGAAGGAAGTACACTTTTCCTACCGATAACACATTGTTAGCTGAACCGGAGGCTATTATTTTAGAAAAACATTAAAGAAGATTTTAAAAAAAATATTGAATTCTAATGAAGTATAAGTCAAAGTCTAAAACTCTTTATTCTAAAATGTCCGATTGATTTTGATGTATTTGATTTTTCACTTGAATTAATCCCACTGAATGCTTTTTTCCTTTTTATAGAAACCGGATTTACGTTTTTCGGATGTTGTCACACCGATTAATGATGTTGGTTTTGCCGCTTTTTTCTTTTGAAATTTTATTAAAGAAAAAAGTAGCACAAAATATTCCACACAGCTTAAAATATGGTTTAGCACATTTTCCACTGCTTATTAGATAATTCAGACCAAATCTCAAATTTATTTTCCCAGTTCATGTCTTAAATCCTAGGCTAGAACCTGAAAATTAGTGAAATAGTGTTTCTCATTCAACAAGGTTCTAGAATATGGTTATAAGGTATTTCAGCAAATTTTCGTGTTTCCACTTAGTTTGACATTTATATTCATATACAAAATTTGGCATTATTTGTCTTAAACATTTATATTCATATACAAAATTTGGCATTATTTGTCTGAACAGTTTTGTACAAAGTTATGGTATCTTTAATTATGATATTATTAATTCTTCATTTTTCATGTTTCTTTTCAGAAACGATCAACAATTGCAGAAGGATTTGACGGTTAGTTATTATATTAAATATTCCAACAGCAGGTTATACATATCTTCATTTCCCAACATTTCATTTCTATTCTAAATGAAATAAGAGATAGAGATTTAAATGTGCTAACATGGATTTTGCTAAATATTCCAATAGCAGGTTATATATATCTTCATTTTCTGGCATTTATTTTAGTCTAAATGAAACAAGAGATGTAGGTTTAAATATGCTAACATTGATTTACAGTTTGATAGAGGTCCTGAAATACTTCATTATGCTCTAGATCTCTAGATATCTTACGATAATGGAACGAGTATTGCCTATAAACATAGGTCGATGCTACTTTTCCGGCATTATTTGCTTTTTCCAAGTTTATATTTTCTCCCCAGTGAATTCATTCGTCGATTATCCATCCACTTCTCTTTGTTTCCTAATCTTCTATATCATACGGTACTACACTTACTGCAAAACTGCAAACAAACATTGTGAATCAACAAAAAAAAAAAAGTATTTTGGTCGTCTACTTCGAAAATTCCCTTAGTTTCTGCTAGTTTTGTTCAATTCATAAACCAAAGTACTTTTTCGATATTAATTATTGAATTTTGACTCCAATGGATTACTCATGGTGCTCATTTCTTAAGTATTTGCCATGCTTTCATTCTATTAGTATTCTGAATCGATTTAAAAAAAAAAAAAAGCAAAGGAAACCTTTTCCATAAAATTTTCAGTATTATTGTATTTTTGGAAAACGGAATTGAATCATATTTGAAATATGGGCGTAGATAAATTAATATGAACTGAAGGTTCATTATTTGTTTTATTTTCAATCTTAAATTTTGAGAAGGAAGCGAACGTTTTCACTTCATTACCTTACATTTGCTAAATTCAGTACTATTTCATCCATAAAAATTCAACACTATTTTATCCATAAATTTAACCATCAAATATCGTATAGTTGCTGAGTGCTATCAAAACAGGGAATGATTCCTCTGTTTTCCTTCCATTTTTCTTCTTTTTTTCAACTTAAAGATTCTTTTCCCCCTGATAAAATAGCAATAAGGAATTGAAAGCAGGAGTGGCGAATAATGAAGAGATTAATCATTTCACACATATTTTTTCTTGTTCAATTGGATCAAAGTATTTTTATCCCTGTGAATTGAAAGTTTTGATAGCACTCAACAACTACACGATATTTGATGGTAGAATACAAAAGTTTTCCAAATTATGACACATAGTTTGACTGCTTATTTCCATCTTTAATCCGTCATGCATGAAAAAGAAAAAGAATTGGAAACATTGGAGATGTCCGGTCTAAAATGATTTAATTCTCCTTCCGTGACTGGTTTTCTTTATTCCGGCAAGAGTATCCACATTAACTGATCGTTTCGAAGTTTGATACATCGTTTTTTATCGGGGAAACTTATTTGGTATATCCATAAGTACAAAAATGCGATGAACGTGACAAGTAGTAGATGACAGTGCTGATCACAAAGGTCGAAGGGAGTAGCATCTTTTCTAATAAAAATATGCCAAAAGCCTTCTTGCATCTAAGCATTCATTTCGTTTTTAAAATATGATTTTTGACTCTCCCCCCTTCCCCCCTCCCCCGCCAGATCTTTCCGGAAACCATGGAAGATAGAGCGGTATGAAATTATACGACGATATGAAGCGTGATGGTAATGTTATTAATAATGAAAAGTGACGGTATTGCTGGATCAGTCAACTGAAGATCAAATTTCTGATGATTTGCATACCTGTTCCATAACTGCATCATTTACCTGTTTCACATTTACCAATGACTTCGGATCTCTTGCATGTGACAAAATAATCAGTCGAGCAAATATTTGTTTACTGCTAGTTTTGAACCGTCATTTGTCTATTAATGAGAATGTTAAACGAATAGTTTGAGGATAATTTTTATTGTTGATCTTGTCTGGATCATTAAGAGATGTGCAACTCTATAAATTACTGAAATCTTGACGAATTTAAAAGAAAAAGATCTCAAAATTATCATTTGAATTTTACAGTTAGTTCGATTTTAAAATTTTCCAGACGGTTCTTTTCTTCCAGAATCACAAATATTGATTTTTTAGGAACACTGGATACTGTTACAAAGCCATTATTGGATAAAATACCAAACGCAATTGCTACAAGTAATGGCCGTTATTTAGCTGCACATCTCAATAAAGAAGCTCAGAGATTTATTCCAGAAGTGTAAGAGTTTTTTCTTTTTTTAATAAATATTTTGAAGAACTGTCTATTTCATGTTGACATACTTTTAGCAATTTATTACTAAATTTGTTTCTAATATTGAAAGCGTGACACAGCTGTTCAAATGGATTAGCGGATATTAAAATAATCGAATAATCAGGGGGTCATTTCATATTATGGTTATCATTCGATGAAGTGTTATTGTCATGACTGATTAACTCTCTTAAAAATTTTCCAAAAAAATGCAGTTGCGTAGTATGTAATAAGCGTTTCTTCTATTTAAAACTCAGTAGTTCTGAAATCGGTTTTAAAATCTAAATTCCAGAAACAAACCAGGATGGGCTGATTTAGACTTATGGATTGAGGAACCGGCAACGTGGTCATCCAGTAATTATTCTCTCAAATTAAGTAAAAAAGAGCGAAAGAAACAAGATATTATTCATGGTTAGGATTTGTTTGCGTTGTGTTTGTAATTATCAGTACCTGTTTTCACTTATTCTATATATTCTTGAATGGTATGAGTATGATACGAGTGACTGAAATTAATTTCAACTGATTTTTGCATATCTGTTTTCAGAGTTATATTTGACTGAGAAACATCACTGTCAAGTGTTGGTAATCCTTCAGCAAGTAAGTATTTTTAATTTAAATTCGGGAGCAAAATCCTATTTAAAAACATTACTTACGATGGACTTAAATTTTCATATGTAAGACAATGACGAGATATGGTATCAAGAAGCTTCTGTACACCTCGAAATCTGTTTACTGAATGGCTTTTTAGATTTTGTTTCGTTAATGATAATATGGATAATTTCCAATCGTTCTTTTTTTTCCGAAATTTTTTCCTTTATTTTCAATCTTTTCCATTTCCGTGATGGTTAAAGGAAGGATTTTGGAGTAGGAGCATATGTAATGTATTAAAACATGAATATGCGTGGCGCAGTTGAAATTAATTTGATTTCTCGAAGTAATCCTCCTTAGCCAAAAATAGATTTTTTTTTTCCTTGTCAGGTATATCAAGAGGGACTTCGAATAAGGGGTATTTTGGATGAGGCAAAGCAGAGCGAACTGATTCCACCCGTATTGGATGCGCTACTTGATTTTCATCTCAATTTTCTGCGACAGTTGAGTCAGAAAAGAATGGAAACAGAAGTTGTCAACTCGGTAGCAAAAATTATTTACTCAGAGGTAAGAAATGCGGGATTATTTGTTATTTCCAAAATTTTCTAATATTTTTTCAGGGATATAGAAGAATTTCGGTGTATATGTGTGTGCTAGTCCTAAGGCTATAACAACCTTAGTAGTTCCAATATTAGAATAGTTGAAGAATACTTTTATAGCTGAGTTTCATGGCTAAGCAACTAATATTTGGTTTGTCGACTTATTCTGAAATTCTGAAATCCTACAATCAACAAGATTTTAATTTCGGAACTTAGGAAAAATGACGCACTAAGTGTCTTGCTTTCCAGGAATGCTACCTTCGTTTCTAGCAGTTGGACAGCGTCACTATTATTTGAGGCTGTCTGATATTAAATTTCTTCTTGCTACTGACAAATTTTTATTGCAGTTTGAAAAGGGAGAACGAAATCAAGCTGCAATATATGCTTACACTGAATTTTGTTCGAAATACGATCAGTGTGGTCGTTTGTACGATGAGTGGATGATAAAAAATGCTGAACTTAAGAAATTTTTCGATGTAAAATAATTTGATCAATTCGAACTAATATTCAGAAATAATCAGTAATAGACGAAATTTATGTTAAAAAGGAAGATTACTCATCATCAGAAGTTTAATTTCACCTATTCTCTTCATAATTTAATTTTTTCCAGCAATACGAACAAGATTCCACTTATAAAGGCCGAACGTTCAAAATGTGCTTGCTGTTGATTGCTCAGAGACTGACCAAATATCCTGTGCTAGTGGAAAAAGTAAATTTTAAAATTTGCATTCTCCATTGAGCTGCAGAATAATCCCGCTTAATTTGTTTTCATAAAATTCTCTTTATTGCTTTTGTGAATTGTTTAGCATAATTTAAGATTGATAGTTCCGGTTTGATCTTTAGATGTTTACATAGAATCACAAATAAGTAAATTTAAGGAAAAAATATGTGCAAGAATGATGAGGAATCATTTAACAATAAAATGTTGCAAAATCAAATAAAAAATCAAAATCATTGTCGTATACCAATGAAGATTGCAAATTTTTGACAGAAAAACAAACGTGGAAAATAATTAGGCAGTTATTTCATCACTTCCGCACTTCGCGACACTTATCCATTCTTCTTATTAATTCCCTAGTTCATGCTAATTTGCATGTCGATCAAAAAAGACCCTTTTTTATCATATGCCATATGAAGATTACATACATTTTTGACAAGAAGTACGATTTATAGAAGATATATATCAGGGATCAATACCTTTAACTTTATTACTTTTAGAACTGGATTTGGTTCTGCTAGTGTGCGTATCCCAATATTTTTCGGAATTTCTGAACGTTATTGATTTATTTACCTCAATACTGATGTGTGTAAGTTGCAGATTGCCGAAATGGAAAGTGGTGCTGCAAAAGAAGAAAGCATACGGGCTCATCAGGCGGTAAAGAAATTTGCAATGCATGTTAATAATGAAATTGCTAAATTAGAAGTAAGTAGGCGTTGGGATCGAGTACGTTCACAAATGGATCGTTCATCGAAAGGCCGCTTTGGTCCGAATGATTTTTTTACAGTATGTTAAATACTAACTGATTAATTTTTTTCTTATTTGTTCACATTTTGATCTGTTTTTCTCTAGAAATAGGATACTTTACATTTAGTGTTGTAGGGTCTGCAAGAATGATAAAGATGGGCGGAAAGTGGAGTAGCAAATCATCATTAATAAAGCCCATGTCCGATCAATTTCAAAGAAGTTAGGCCGGGAAATCTTTTTAATATTAACTTTATTTTTAAGTTGGACCTTTATTAGAATTATTGAAATTGGAATTCTAACTTTTACTTTGATTTCTTGCACATTTCTGTTCTAGTATGATGATCTCATACTAAATGGCAGTGATGAGGAACGACATGTAATTTGTATAGGTGGTGCAGTTTGTCAGAATTCGCAGAAAAAACAATCTGAAGGGACAGGTAAACTTTTCCTTAAATATAGGCTGTCAGTTTTTACGTTTTCTAGTTTGTTTGGATTTCTGCTTCCTATTCTTTTTACTTTCTAGTATTGTTTGACAAATAATATAGTAACTTGTGCTGGATGTTATATGAGATTTTCCGGTACGCTAAACTTTCTGTTCCACTTCACTTTTTCAACCACAGTACGTATGATTTACAGAAAACGGAAAAAAAGACGAAGCATATTTTTATGAGTTAAGTAAAATCATATTTTGATAAAATTTTGGACATGTGATTGTTGCGCATTGTTACCAGCGTTTCTATCATACAATAACGTGGTTTTAGTACAAAAATTTTTCAATTTCCATAGCATGTATGCTGGGGATCGTGTCAGGAAACGTATTCTCGTTCTGTGGAACAAATCAAGAAATATGAATTCGTAGAATTATTATTCTTCCAGAAACTTTTTAAAGTTCTGCATTTCAGAAGTAGTAATAGTATTGTTCGATGATATTCTGATCATGTTGGCAAATTCGAGTAGCAACAAATATGTATTTCTTGATCGTGGATCCGGAGTTAATCTTCTTACTTGCATTTTTTTTCACTTTTAATATGAATGTTGATTTTGCTTGAAATTTTGCACAGTATCTTCCAGCTCATATCACACTTAGCATTTTTTTTATCAAAGTTGAAAATATTCTAGTTTCTCTTTTAAATTATATTTTTGCCCAATTAGAAATACTTCCTAAGTTACGGTCTTTATTTTCCCAGTTACGGTCTTTATTTCTAGATTTTGAAATTTCAAACAGTTTGATGGAATTTTTAGGAAAATTAAAAACCGAAATAATTTTGTCTGAAGAAATAGAGCTTGCAGAGTACAGTGATTGCGCTGAACAAATTACTGGTTCGTGAAGTGCCTCGTAGTACGAAGTTATTTTTCCTACTTTCCGATGATCCTTTTCCTGATTTGTTTGTTGTGAGTTTTGCTTCCAAGGCTGATGTTGACCAATGGAAGAAAGCGATTGAAGTATCAAAAAGTATAGCACCGACACATGGTAAGTTCACTTCAACATAATAATAACATCATTGGAATATAAAATGCAATCTTGAATGCAATGTAAGGTAATGCGTACATATAAGCTCGATGCGGAAGTTTCAGAAATAACCGGATGGACATTATCATATTGTCGTTCATGAACCATAATGAGATTAGGAAGGAAGAAAATGAAATTATTTCCAGGATTAGATCTACTTACTTTTTTCAATATTTATGGTGTGGCACCAAGTTTAAATTTCTTTGTCTGAAAACCAGGAATTAATTTGCTATTATCCTAAGCTTTTTCATTTATATATAAGTACATTTCTATCCCAACTATTCCTATGGATCCAATGATTTCTTTCAATCCGATTTTCCGAAATAATCATTCATTTTGGCTCCCTTCCAAATTAAATTCATTAATTATTTGATTGTTCGCTCTTGTATCATTTCTCCTTTGTTCATGTTTTAATGAGAAATTTCATCATTATATTATTTCTATCAACAACACCGATGATATACCTCGTCTTTCCCACAGGAA